GAAGGGGAAGTGGAGGAGTAGGGGAAAGGAAAAAAGGGACTGAAATTAATATGAGAAAATGAAAGAATGGAAGCAAAGTCTTTGTAAGTAGGGAGGTGTTGAAGGGAGGGCAGGGGAATGGGGAAAAAATAAGAACCAAGTTATATTATATAAAGGTACAAATTTCCAATGATGAATGTCATTATATTGTATATCTAAAATGTACCAATAAAATAAAACATTTTTTAAAAAGTAAATGACTGATCTCAGCTCAGAAATGAGGGCACCCGGGAAGATCAGCATTTCTTCTGCTACTTCAGGAAAAATCTGAACCAACTACAAGTCAGCAACTTTTCTCAAAGCCATCAGAGAACTGAGGTGACAGAGCCAGACCTGGGAGGCTACGTGCTACATGATGTCATTTCCATGATATTCTGGATAAAGAAACTATTGCGATGGATGGCTGCCAGGGGTTGATGTCTAGGGAAGGGACTGACAACAAAGGGATTACAGAGGAGAATTTGGGGGTGACAAATGTATGGGGACCAATGACTCAAGCTACTCTTCTAGTACCTTTCAGTTGTGAAAGGGAAAATTCTATGTCCCAGAAATCCCAAATCAGACTCATTGAGGACCCTGAGTGGAAGTGTTCCACATGACACAGCTGGGTGGTAGATACCTGATTTATACCTTTGTCATAGTCCATTGAATGGGATATCACAAAAAGTGAGCTTTGCAATATGAAAAGATATTTTTTAAATCAACTAATATGCATAGATCCCAGGATGTAATGCAGGCTGTGACAAAAACATCTCACTGTGTTAGGAATGAAGAGTACTTCATGAGAAATTGAAATCTGGTCATCTGGGTATGAATCTGATCATATGAGAAATTGGATTCTGATCATAATAGCAGAGATATGTTGAATTTTGAGGAGTGCAAGATGGAGTACGCAAATGCCTGTAGGTCTATTGTGAAGAAAGGGGACTGAACCATCTCAGGTCTAGCAATGTGATGTGACTAATAGTCCTAGATTTGTGCAATGTGGACCATTCCAAGCCAAGTTCTGTGACCTTGCATAATTTGACATCATTATTACATATCTCGAGATTTTTATTTTCCTCATTCATAAAATTAAAAAGTTACCATTGTGATCTGCTTTTGAAGTTATTTTCTGAGACACTGGGCTTTGTAATTTATCAAATCTGCATTTAAAGGTTGACACCAAAACTTAGAGTTCTGTGACTTTGGTTAAGCAATCCAACGTATCTGTGCTTTGATTTTTCCTCTGTCTGAGTGAAAGCTGTCAAGGCATTACCCTCTGTGTTGGCTTAAAGGAGAAACAAGGTTTTGCATGCAAAGAACACAGTGCCTGGAGTAAATCTGAAAGGTGCTGTACTCTATATGCGCTAAATGGTGTACAAGTATTATCATTGGCATTCAGCTTTTGAGTTTATATAATACAGAAGAACATGAGAACTAAAATGTCACAGTAGGCTTTCTTCCTAGTTTCAAAAATAAGACTTGAGGTTCTTATAAATTTAGCTTTATCACCTACCTATAAGAATGGAGTCGACAAGAACACAGAAGAGTGTTACAGACAAGAAATAGTTACATAATGGAAAAACAAGTACCAAAAAGCTGAGCAATTTTCTTCTCTGACCTTGGATCAGGCCCTGTATCCAGAGTTCAGATACTTGATGTGATGACAGCAAAATTAAAGGGCCAAGGTACTGCTTTCTAAGTGTGTGCTGCAAATCTGGGGAGTGTCCCCACAGACAGATGTGCAGTTAATCACCTCTGAAGACAGAAATCAGGAAAGACCAATCCTCTTGCTTTATTGCCACACAGTGGAGATAGGAGTATGTTTTGTACTCTGTAAGGGTCATGCAGAGTATGAGGTGCAGAAGCTGCAGAAATGAATATGGACAGGCACATCAGTGCAGAAAATAATCGAGAGTCCAAAGTATTAGGCCACTTACAAATTGTGATAAAAAACTATGGTAAATATTTAAATTTTTTAAAATTAATACAATAAAAGATACATTGCCATTAACCTACCCCAAAATATACCCCTCCTCACTTTGAACACACTTATCCCATTATTCTTGGCACTTTCTGATGCAGTCAGAAACTCTTTCATGAGTTTCTGACTCAGTGTCCTCAATGGTTTCAAAATCTTTATTTTTTGTGGTCATTTTGACTTTGGGGAAGAATCAGAAGACATACAGTGTCAGATAACTGCAAATAAGGTGATGAGGAGACACCATAATGTTTTTTTACAAGACCGCCCTTCCATTGGATGGTACTCTGCAGCAGCATTCACCATGTTGTGATCACATCTTGCAAAGACACTTATGAAAGAAGACTTCCAGAAATCCTTCAGAAAGTGACAAGAACTATGAGATAACCATATTCCCTCAGAGGGGCACATTTCAGAGGGATTAAAGGCAATGTGTCTTCTACTGTAATACAAATTTTAATTTAAGCATTCACCATACAGTTTGATCACCTCCTGTAAATCTGGTCAATTAAATTTTGCTAGAGGTACCAAGGTAATTCAATAGAAAAGGAAAGTTTCCTCAACAAATGGGGTTGGCTATTCATCTGCAAAAGATTGAACTAGGACTCCTTCATACTATACACAAAAATTAATTCAAAAGGAATCGAAGGCTTAAATGTAAAATGTAAATACTCTTAGAAGAGTCTTTACACAGTCATAAATATTTGTGACATCAGATTGGGCCACTATTTCACAGATATGACACCAAGAGCATAAGTTTAAAAAGCAAAAGGAAACACAAAAGAAAAAGTAGCGCTTCAATGAAATTAAAATATTTGTGAAGTTAAGGACACCATGAAGGCAGAGGAAAGATATCCCTGCAAAATGAGAAAAAGTGTTGTGTTTGCAAATTGTACCTGATAAGGAAGTTATCATATAAGGAATTCTTACAAATTGGTAATAAAATAACAAGCAGGGCCAGGGATTTAGCTCAGTGGCACCACGCCTGCCTCATAAGATCAAGGTCATGAGTTTGATCCCTGGTGCAAAAAAAAAAAAAAAAAAAAGAAAAGAAATCAAAGTAAGATAACAAGCAACTCAATTAAAATGTGGGGAAATATCTGGATAGACATTTCTCCAAAGATGTTATATAAATAACCAGTAAACACAAGAGGAAATAATTAAAATTGCTAGTTAACAAGGAAGTATAAATTAAAGCCAGAAAGAGATACTACTGCGTACTCTATTAGGATGGGTAGAAAAATCTATTGATGATGATTGTTGGTGAGGGTGTAAAGTTGGAACACTCATACACTATCAGTTGGTGCCACAACTCTGGAAATCAGTCCACCAGTTGCTTAAAGTTTACACACGTACAGTTGTCATATGACCCAATATTTAGTCTTAGGCACATACTCAAGAGGATTTAAAACATAAAAACACATAAAAATTTGTACCTGAATGTTCATAGCTGCATCAATCATAATATCCAAAAATAGGAAAAAACCTTAAGTATTCAACTGATGAACAGATACACAAAATATGATACATCCATACAGTGGAATAATATGCTAGTCAGCTTTCTGTTACTGTAACAAAATATCTGAGATAACAAACTTAAAAAGAAGAAAGGCTTATTTTGGCTGAGAATTTTAAAGGTTTCAGTTCGTAGTTGGCCCTGTTGCCTTCGAAACTGTGGCAGAGAAGCACATTGTGGTAGGAGTGTGTGAGGAAGGCAACTGCTCCTATCATGGCAGCAGAAAGAAAAGGAAGAAATGGGAGGAAATAGGGCCCCAATATCCCTTCAAGACCATGCCCCAAAGATCTAAGAGCTCCCTATTAGCCCAGCACTTAAAAATCGCTACCATTTCCCAGTAGCATCAAGCAAGGGACCAATCTTTAACACATGAGCCTTTAGGGGAATATTCTACCCAAATCACAGCAAACCGTACTCATCAATAAATGGGATTGAAGTACTGATGCATAATACCAAATGGATGAAACTTGAAAATATCAATGCTGAGTGAGAGAAGCCAGTCACAACAGACCACAGATTATATGATTTCATTTATGTGAAATGTTCAGAAGAGACAAATATATTAAAACAGAAATTAAATTAATGATTATCTAGGACTAGGGAGAAGGGAGTGGTAGAAGAACAGAAAGGGATTTTTTTTAAGAGTGAATGAAAATATTCAAAATTAGATTGTGTGAATGGTCACACAATTCTACAAAAAATACTAAAAATTATTGAAATGTATGCTTTAAATGGGTGAATCATACGGTATATAAATTGTATCTCAGTGAAGCTGTTATTTCTTTAAAGCCCTATAATTGAAGAGTTCCTAATCCGACTGGGTAGAACTGCAGAGGAACATAAATTTATTTACCTGATGTAGAGGAATGGAGCAGGGGGAGGAGATTAAACCTCACTGTGCTCTGGGGTGTGTGCATGTATTAGTGTGTGTGTGTGTGCACACACGGGTGTGTATGTTAACTCTCATAATGTTAGAAGGATTGAGTTTTTAAACTCAGTGCCCACAAAGCATCTTTATCCTAAATTTATCACGGAAAGCAAGTATGGATCCCAAACTGAAGTATAGATTTTAAAAACCCTTATCTTTCCTTCATAAAAGTTAAAAAAAGCGGGCCAGGGATTTAGCTCAGTGGTTTCAACGCCTGCTACGCAAGTGCAAGGACCCGAGTTCGATCCCCGGTACCAAAAAAAAAAAAAAATTGAAAAAACATAAAATAGTATTATTTTGCAAATGCACTCAATGTAGCCAACACATTCTATGTGATCATAATTAATGTAAGTAAGCTAGTTTATATTTTTCTAAGATAATATCACATATATTTTGAAGCATTGACAGTTTGTATACATATCAATTTAGTGATCATATATTTGCATAATTTATAGGAAGACAAAGCACTTTTATCACAGCCATCATGAAATGCATGGACTAAAATATACACATTAAAAAGAAAACATAGCAAACAGACCAGAGATATTCTCTCCATATCAAATTGCTAAAGCAAAATCAGGGAACATTAAGATGACAGAGAGAACTGAGTCACCTCCAGTCCAAGTCTCCTTCAGCAACAGAAATCACCGGACCACATCCAGAGGCTGGGGTAGGCATGTCTGCCCGGGTGTCTGCCCTGACCAGAAGCTCCCTCGCTGCTTCATGAAGCTGCCTTCCTGACAATGGCCAGCTCCAATCAACAGGAAAGTGTGCTTGGAATTTCTCTCTCCAGTCATCTAAAGTTTTGCTCTTCGAAGTGGAAGAAAATGGGCCCATTCCACGCTTCGCCTACTATTAAGCCTCACGTCCCTCTACGTGTGTACCGTTCTTGCCATTTTTTCAGCTGTTTCACCTCTGTTATCTCATTTTCTTCTTAGAGCAACTCTGTGAGGTTTGCAGCTGGTGATTTTCTCAGTTTACAGATGCACGGAGGCATTTGTTACCAGGGTTCCTAAAGGAAGACAATAGAATCCCACTTAAGTTGGGAAACTATATGTGTCTGTTTATTTTGATGATATGCGCTAGCTCTCAGGATGTTTGGCTACACTATAAAGTCAGGATCTACATTAAAGCCACCTATAAAATATGCCCCAACCACAGCTCAGAGTTTTTGGACAGTCCCAGGGCCCAGCGCTCTCCAGAATGAAGCCCCTCTCTGGACTTGTCTCGTACAGGAGCATCCATGGGGAGACTATGTCACACATCTGCAGCTCCGTTACAAGGGAACCTAGGGAAATATGCTTTTGGCTGAATTTTACAGAGAGAAGGCAAGATGCACAATATAAGAAAATAGAGAAATAGAGAGAGAACAATTAAATTATTTTAAACTGTCAGACATGATGGATGGGCACTGTGCCTTCCTAATTCATTTTTCTGATGCCTGACTTTCCTGTTCCAAATTATCTTATAAATATCACTGCTCTAGTTCTATGCTTTTTAAACTTGCATGTGGAACTATACATCTACATCTGTTTACCTGGCCAGGTTGGGCTCATTCCTTCCACCTAGATCAGGGGGAACTCTGGTTTGTCACTCCTATGAGCAGCCCAACCCAGTTTTCCTTAATGCTTATAACACCTGCCTTTTCTAATTCCAGGAGGACACATCAGGGCCTCTCTTCTGCAGCAATGATAGAGTGAGAGTGTTACCGAGAGTACTCGGTTCCAATCTGTCCTTTAAAAGCCCTACTTTGTTGTTTAGCTATTCGAGCTCTTAGAAATTCACCTGTCTTCCAGGTCTTGCTGCTGGCCCTTAGGAATGTCATGAGAGGCCAGGTCACTTTTATCCAATGCGTTGCTTCAATCAAGACACACAGTGTCTGTGGACCTCCTCTGCTGGATTAGGAAGCAGGAAGCAGTCCTTGTTTGGAATCTCTTGTGTCCGTTCCCAAGGATATTTTCCTCCTTCCCTCGGTGCCCAACTGCTCAAAATCATGTTCCAGAGTTTTTGCAGCCATCCAGGGTTTATGAGCTTTACACGGCTGAGCTTTCACAACTAGATCTCTTCTGCCTCTGTCCCTAGACTCTCTGGAACAATAAAGATCCAAATAAATGAATAAAATAGAAAATAAAGTCATTAAATCTCTAGTTTTAGTACAATATCATTGATGTTTTCACACCACACGCAGTGACTTATTTTCTTTGAAAGAATTACTCTTCCCAATATTTTTTATTCCTACCTGGAAAATGTTATGTTCCAGTTCTTACGTGGGGTTTAATGCATTCAAAAGGAGCGATAAAAGGGGAAGGAGGTCATGCACGGGAGGAATTCGAAATGCTGTGACAGTCTGCAAAGGGTTTGATGGAGTGACTCATTGGTTCCGTCAAGCCCCTTTGATAGAGTCCTGCAGGGTGTCCTCTTTGTGGGAAGGGATGTGGAACCTGTCCTTTACTCCTGAGACAGAGGTGGCAACAAGGGACAAGGGGACACAATCAGAGACAGTTTCTGAGATGGCTTTGTGCCTCATGTGAAATACAGCTGCCCAAGGACAGGCAGGGACAAGTCCAGGGAAAGGAGAGTGTTGACCATACCACTGAGCACCTTGTCCTGCTAAACAGAAGCCCAGTGCCAGCCGGGGACCTCGCAGTTCTAGTCCCTGATAAATTCCACGATTGCTTATCTAGTTTGTGTTCCATTTCTATGACTCACAACTGAAAAGACACTAAAATATTCTGCCCTTTGTCTTACTTTTAGGTGTATTCTTGGGTGTCTTTTCCATCTTCTAAAGTCCGTACAGGAAATGCAAAGAGGTTAATGCCTGGGGACAGTCTGTTCTCTATTACTCAAGCATGGAATGAATAATAATGCACAGTGAAATGGTGACGCTAAATGTAGTATGTTTGAAGTGTTATAAGGAAACTGTGACCGTGCATTATGATATGTTCACTTGGCGGGAGCAAGAACCGCATCACAGTTCTGGGTGTGTCTGTGAAGATGACTGACATGTAGGCCAGCAAACTGAAGGGAAGACTCACCCTAGTGTGGGTGGAACCAGCCAATAGGCTTCTAATCTGGATGAAATAAAAAGGGAAAGAAAAAGTTTTGGTTTTGAAGAGCTTTGGTTTTCCTGAGCTCATACATGCTTTCCTGCCATTGCCTTTCGACATCCGTCTCCAGGGCTCCAGTTTCCTCAGCCTCCAGCAGACTTGCACCTGCAGCTCTCCAGTGAGCCTCCAGGTCTTCCACCTTGGACTGGTGCTGACTCCTTGACCCTTCTAGTGGTGTGACTTTCAGCTTCTTGGCCCGAGCAGCTACCGGATCCCTGGCTGTCCAATGTCCAGATGGCCCCTTCTGCCTCTGCTTCTGCAGGGGGCACTGTGGACCCCACTTCTAATCCTGTGAGCCTCCCTAATAAATCCCCTTGAATAATTATACAGATGTGCTCTACTGAGTCTGCTCCTCTAGAGAACCCTAACTAATGCAGACACCTCTGGAAAAATGATGAACTCATAAATCTGAGCACCTGGACCAGTCCTGCACCTGCTCCCAGATCCTGCCCGAGACAAGCTTGTTTCTTTAGAGTCCTTGGAAAATTTGTTTATCCCTCTTTTCCTTAGAATATTTGCTATTGTAGAGGTTTTTCTAGGTATAGTTTTACATTAACCTCTAACACAACATCTCTTCATGGCTAGCCCATGAACTTACATTAATTTCAGTCAAATTTCATTACCTCTTGTTCCAACCTTCCCTTGCACCAGCTTTTTACTAGTTTTTTTCTCCTTTACTGGTATTGGACCTGAAGGTTCCGCTACATAGTTAGTTCACCTTGTTTAACTCAGGAGCAGCAGCGAGGACAGGACTGAGCCTTCGGTGCAGTGATCAGAAAACAGCTACTTGGTCTGGCACAATCTTGACAGCATTTGTCTGTTGGTTAGTTGGCCGTAAGTCATGCATATCTGACCTTTTAGATAGCCAGAGGGTTTTGTTCTGATTTCTCAGCCCAATTGTTCTTTTTTGCTTTTTCTAAAAAAAAAAAAAATCCTATCTTTTACTTTGCTGTAATATTCATGCAGAACTGAATACCTTTTCCTCTTACCAACAGTTCTTGCCAATAACAGCTTTCACATATGCAGTAGAAGCCCCACTAAGACTAGTTCATGAGCATAACGGCATTGAGTGATTGTTTTATTTGAAAGTCATAGATTGATTTGTTGCCCACAAATTATAAAACTCAAGAGAACATCCTTATATCTAAGTGATGTTTTATACAACCAGCAATAAGCACAATTTCTGTCATATAATGAAAGCCAAATAAAGTTTATAAATAAAAGTTTAAATGAACAAATGGTATGTCTCTGAAGATGGATATATTGAGTAAATAATTATCTGTATGCCACTTAATATTACATATGTTAATATCATGTATGTATCTGATGTATGTTAACTTTGGGGCTTCTTTCGATACATGAGAACGAAAACATCATAGTCTTTTTTGTATGGGATAGACCTTTTCCACTTGTGGTATGTTTCTGTACAGCAGATGTTTTCAAAGCCTTATCTCCAACACACTCTATACTCTTTGTGCCTTTCTGTTGTACCTACATTTGTCTGTTGATTCTATCTATGGTAGCTAAACTATCACTCATAAAACATTTCCCACAATTAGCAGAGAAACAGCTAAAGATTATTAAACATATTTATCAAAATAACTTTAAGACATTATGTGATTATACATTGTTATCTGAGAGAACAGAAAAACATGGACATTCAAATAAAAAACAATTGTGACTCAACTAATGAGTCTTCATGGAATTTATCTTCTTACCCATGATTAAGGAAGTCTCATTCACTCTCATCTCAGTTTTTAAACCTACTTTCAAGTGGGAAATAAATCATAATGTGACAAAAGTGCTAAATAAATAAGATTCTTACGAACAAGGAAAATAATTGTATTTGTGCAAAATAGCGCTTCTTATAAAATAATGTAAAACAATTCTGAAAGTGATTTATTATTTTATTTAAGTCTACTCCTTCATTTGTTTCTTCTTATCAAAATTAAGCTGCCCCTTCCTGTAAGGCCTCAGCTCATTTGAATCTGAACTGGGTGCCTTCTACACCTCTCCTCAGCCAGGTCCAGATGAAAACTTTAAAATGTGCATATTTTCTGGGCAGGCCAGATAAATAAGAATTTGGACTCTGGAAACAGTATGATTCGCTTTACTCTTAATTCTGGACTCGGATTTTGTGTGAAATGTAGAAATAACAATGATATTCTTTGTTTCAAGAGCAGATAAGACTTCTTAAAGCATTTAACATGGTATCTGACATAGTAAGTGATCAGTTATAAGAATAATAATTATTATTACCATAAAATGTAAATGAAATCTTACAGGCTCAAGGTGGTAGTGCTGTCTACTGTCTGGCCTTTTTTTTTTTACAAAAATGTAAAGTTATGAATTTTTAAGTGTAGTAAGTAAAATTTAGTCAAAGAACCATTTTTGTCAGATTTTTATTTTTAAGAATTTCAAACATAGAGAAAACTTTGCAAAATAGCACAATATATATTATATATTCACTAGGATTCACCAAATTGTTTCCTTTTTGCCCACAGGTGAGCTCTCTATGTCTTCATGTTTTTAATACACATCTGCAATAACTCTGTGAAAGAAAGGAAGTTCTCCTACATTCTCTCAGTATTAGGACTGCGTCTGAGAGACTTCACATTGACATTCGTACTGTGCAAGGTACAGCTCATGGTAACATTTCCCCAACCATCCAATAATGCTCTTACAGCTATTTCATTTGTATTTTCATCTTGATCCAGAATCATTTGCACTGTGTTGTCATGTTCTCTTGGTCTCTCTTATTCCAGACAGCCCTCAGTGCTTCCTTCTCATCTCACACGATACTTACTGGCTTGAACAGTTTGGGTCACTTGTTTCCACTTTCTGTCCCATCATTGGAATTTGTGTGACTCTTCCTTCGGGTCTAGATTCAGGGCAACTTTTCAACAGGATCCGATCCTCGGTGACTCTCCTGAGGCTCCTCTGATGACACATGCAGAAGCAAGAATGCTCCCTGCATTGACAATGTCTTCACTAAATCAGTTTTTTTTTTGGTACCGGGAATCAAACTTGGGTCCTTGCGCTTGCGCAGCAGGTGGCGAAACCACTGAGCTAAATCCCCGGCCACTAAATCAGGTTTTAAAGTATGAGTATCAATTTAACAATGTTTAGGATGTACAATAATACCATTTATTGATCGCTCTGTAAACCATAAAAATACAGAACTAATACTAAAACATAGAGCCTTCTACTTGTTTATCTTAAAAATGTAAAATAAACATTTATCATTATTTTATGCTTTGCAAGCCTCCCTTGAAATATGCTGATTTTAAAAAAAAAAGAAATGAGTTCTTTGACCAAAAGTAGAAATAAGTATTGGGCTTCCATTCTCAAAACTAGTCTGCTTAGAATTGCTCCCTAGAAATATCCCCAATTCTATATTTTATTATCAATGATTATTCTTGCATTTGTTGTCTAAAAATAGCTATCTTTCTGTAAGCCATGTTTTTTGCCTCTCTGGTTAGTTTTTATTGGTGGTGGTGTTAGAGTTCGTTAGTGTGATACTGGGATTGTCAGTAATTTCTACATCTTCACCATTCTGCATAATTTTTTCTGAAATCCCTTCTTATATTGTTCATCTTTTCATCAGCACTTAATATTTTTATAGAATCATATTTTCTTTTTTCATAGAATATCATTTTTCTTTTATGTTAGGAATTACTTTTAGTATTTCTTTGGTATTCTTTCTTTAGATTATCATGTTTTCTTAAATTCTTGGAATATTTCTTCTAATCAAAGTATATAATGCAATTTTATAATTGTGAGTTGGTCAGTAAATGAGGTTTCTTTTGCTGTGAGAATCCACACTGGTCAAAGTGGTTATATTATCTCATCAGGGTAATTTGCTTGCTTTTTTGGCTTACAGTTTTCGAGGTTCCACAATGTAGAAATCAATGTTTATATCTCAAACTCTTCTGGCACCAAGATCAGACTCTCAGGAGATCTGTTTTCCATGGACAGATGAAAAAGAAACAAAACCTTTCTCCTCTAAGCTTCTATTGAGACCACCATCCCTCGAGGGTCCTGCCCTAACATAGCTTCAGAGTCTGTGGCCCTTGCCAAGTCTGGCCCCCATCCTTGTGTGGGCGTCTGAAGCAGGCTGAGCCCACTCTCTCGCCCTGCTCACCCCATGGAGCCTGGCAGAGCAGCGCACTGCCCCAGTTTCCATTCTCATGCTCGGCATCCAGGGATGCTGTGAAATTCCTTTTCACAGACTGTCTAGGTGTCTGGGAAGTAGGGTGCTTAAGTTATCAAGTCAGATATATTGCTACAGCTGGAAACCTAATATAATCTTTACTTCCCCTTAAATTGACAATAAGATTCCTTTCAGTAGCATCATTATGCCATGTAACCTTGATCAGGACAGAGAAATGTAAGTGGAATTTTACTGGGTGAAGTTTCTTGCACTTCTCTGATGAGAAGAGTTTCCTCCTGTGTTTCTGCCTGGAACTTCAAGCAATGCCTGGAGGGGAAGCAGCCACCCTGGAGCAGGGCAGCTGTGTGACCATGGACAGGTGGCAAAGCAGGCTGGGGACAGCACTGCTCTCAGGACCTGGGCTCCAGCACTGCGACTCCTTGTCTGAAAGCAAAGCATCCTTCTGGTTGCAACCGCTGTTTTTCAGTCTATGGTACTTCCAGCTAAAGGCAGTCCCACCTGACAAGCTAGATGGTGGCTTCAAACACATACACTTCATAAATACATTAAAAAAATAAAACATCATGCTGTGTATTGAAGGTGGAAAGGCAGAAACAT